TACTCGATTGCCCACGGGATTGCGCGATGAAACGATCGTTTGTGCTTTTTTCTCGGCTGCCAGTGAATAATACAGGGCGTGGCTTTTCGAGTGATGTTTTAATGCTGGAGGGCGTTTTAACTTAAGTACTATTGACAGACGGATTAAACACCAATAAATCTAACGCGTCCCTAAGTTCTACACGCTTCCGGCTCACTATTTTTTTTTAAATCAAGTAATTGGAGAATAGTTTACGAGGGTAAATATATTCGTAGATTTGCACAGATCGTTTTTCATACAGTAAAAATCATATTCTTGAACAGATGTGTTGAATTCGTCTGTGTGTAATGTTCTAGAGACAAGGTCCTCCATTACACAACGCCGGGATTATTAAAGATAAAAGGATTTTCTACTGAATTAAAATCAATGAAAAACTTATCCATACTTGTATTAAAAAGCGGTAAAGTTTCCAACGTTTTTTGTTTGTAGGTAATCTTCGGAAATACCTTCGGCAAACTACATTATACGCGGCTGACATAGGATATAATTTACGCTGTTGAAGTCACGGTAATATAGGTAGTGTAGGAATGTGTATTATATTTTTAGACACAACTAATTTGTAAATAGGAACAGAGAAACTCTGTAAAATGTTATTTGGACTTTTTCACGTGAGCGGGATTTCATATGAATTATGTAGGCAACTGAATTTTCCTGCTGCATTTGCAAATGAGGTTCATTTTACGAAATCACATCTGGGTTTGCGATATTCCTTATTACCTCCTTACATATACTTCCTAATGCATAGAAATCAAACGTGAACCAACTAGATATTTTAAGTAAATAGTTGCATACTAACGTTATGTAGGAAAAAGACGAGTCAAGTATTGACAAAAAAGTTTTTACATTAAATAAAATATAATAAATGTCTATGATTCAACATTTTTGAGTTTATACTCAACTCGATACTTCTCTCAATTTTTTTGGAATTATAACTAGCTGCCACAACCAGCCAGCTCCAGGTAAGGCCTGAGCTCTAGCAGCGGGAACATTAATAGGCTGATTGATTATGGTTATTAAAAAAGTAGTTTGCTAAATGTTAGTAGAAAAAATATTTTGAAGAGCTTAAACATATAGAAATATAATAAGTTCAAACCATATTAAGTATGCAATTTTAGTAAGTATTCTTATTTCTTTTGGTATTTGAAACAAAATACACAACAATAATAATCAAACCGTCAAGGAAAAAAATTGTTATTTTTAGAGATAACTTATCGCATTCCTATAATGTATGCAAATAATTAAATGAAAATGTTATTTCAGGTAGAATTTCCGCCCCATTTTCGGGTGCCTTGTTTACAATGTTGAGATAATGTTAGAAAAACAACGATACATTTAGGGGAAGGTTCGAGGGTGCTAATCTGATGCTGAGTGAAAAGATTTAGTGAACGCCCTACGAAATTAATCTTCAACATTTAGGTATCTATATATAGCTGAGTATCTATGTATAGTTAAGTAGCTAAAGCCATAAAAGGGATTTTATTTAATTAGTTTTATGACTTGTCTTGAGTAAAATTTAAGCTTTAGATAAGCGAAAGGTCGGAAATAGGACTTCCTTTAGAGAACATGGAAACGCTCTCTACCTAGATAGCGGTACATGCGACCGGCTTGTATGAGAATAATAGATAGAATGTTGAGTACATACTAGAAAGTGCTCCTGCATTGCACAAACAAATTATCTGATTGAAATATTTTTTGTAGAATCTCAGGTTGCAAAGAAAAGATTTCGATTGGGTAATTTACTGAAATTATTGGAAATTCTTTAAAATACCTGCCAGTAGCACGTTAGATTACCATAATACACTTCGCGGTTGATTTTGAATTCTATCCTCAATGCATTAAGTCGCGTAATTTGTTAATTTTTATAACCCGACGTGCTGTTAATTATACTTATATGTAGTGTATTTAAGAAAGATTTACCTACATAAAATATTACTATCTTTGAACTGTTTTTTTACAAAGAAATAACATCCAAATAAGTTATTTCTATTATGAAAATGAGAAAACAAAGTATACCTATATTTGTAAAGGTTCTGTAAACACCAAAATGAGACTTTTTTCACCCTTTTTCACGGTTATAGAAATCTTTATTCTCAAAAGAATTACAAAAATTCACTTACTGAGAATTATAACACATAAACAATTTTAACACCAAGAAAAACGTAATGTACAATTGGATTTTTAATCACTGTATAAACTATTTTTTTTTCAAGTCAAGAAGTTAGTCTAGACTATTAGTGCAATACATAGATGTGCGATGCTTTTAATCTGCCCTGCATTTAGATGTAGCATTTAAAATATCTAAAACTGTTAATAAAACAGTATAATCTTTCGGAAAGTCAAAAATTGTTGTTAATATTATATAACTCATGTACTGTTAAACCCGTTCAACTATTTATGACCCGTTTAAGTATTTTATTACCCGACTGTAAACAGAAGGAGGGGTTAAGTTTTAATATTATTTTGATTATCATAACAAAAATAGCATATGAATTTGTGTAATTATTATTTGACTATATTTTTTTTCTTACATATATAATATTTATTTAACTATGCATATATTAGTAGTTACATTTATCAAAGACAGTGGCTTTGAATGAAAGGTGTAAGCAAATTTTTAAAACTTGTCATTGTTTTAGTATTCTTTATAATTTTTAACCCCCTTTGTGGTGAAATTTCCTATTTATGTGTATTATTATCGTATTATATTTATCGGATCGTATTAACTGGGTGCAGAGTATGAGTTTTCGCTATTTGGAAGTATATATTTTGGCACCGTGCCCGTAACGGTGACGATCATTAATTACGATTTTCGTACAAAATTTTTAAAGCGCTAGATAGTGAATATCGACTTTTGAAACTCTTAACTCAGTACACCGAATACTATTTATGATACCGAAGACCAACTTGTTGTCAAAAACCCCGTAAAGTGCGAGTTGAACTTGTGCAAGGATTCCGTACTGGAAACAAGAAAAAAAACACGTTGGCGTAAGGCAACCTCTTTATATAGTTGTTTTATCCTATTTTTATTATAGCGCTAACGGAATTACATCGTCTGTGAAAATTACAACTTTTTTGCTATCACGCTTCATGCATGAGATACAGTCTGTTGACAGACGGAAAGATGGACAGCGGAGTCTTTGTAAGAGGGTCCCGTTTTTTACCCTTTGGGTAAAGAACTATGAAACGAATCTCATTAAAAAAAAAATCTTCGCTAAATAATACTATTGCATTTACATCGATAAAGTAAATATATGTAATATCAAAGATGCAAAATACTAACTACTATTCATATTTTTTGTATAGCCCTCCTCCTCAAGAAAGCTTAAAGCCCCTATTTTTCGTATTTCTATTAAAAGGTCCGAAACGTCAATAACTCTAAATACAAAAGCGATGAAACCGTTTAAAAATTGTTTCATTTATGGATAGTGCGCGTGAAAATATAAGAAATCAATATACTCAATTTTGATTCGGGCGAAGATTGGATGGCTAATTTTTACAAGTTTATATTACTATATTTGAATAGTTTGAATTTGTCATAATAAGAATTATTTTACGATTTTCAAGTCTGAACGAAAATAAACAATTTTAATTAAGAGTTCCTATGTGACAACAACCACATGAAGATAATTAAGACGATCTAGTTCTCCATTTTTTTTCATCATCATCAGCCCTTTTACGTCCCCACTGCAGGGGCTCAGGCCTTCCTTATGGCTGGTTAAGGAGGATGGGCCATGGCCCTCCACGCTGGCCCAATGCAGATTGAAGGGTATTAACGACTGCAAATGCAGCCGGAAGCACGGAGTAGCTCGGATAATAACTTTTTGGTCACCCATGCCGTGACCAACTCTTGCGAAAGTTGCTTAAAAAAATTACTAATCTAATTTCGACAAAGTTTTAATCTTTAAAAATAGCGCAATATAAAAGAATATACAAGAAAAAAGTCAAATTGGAAACCTATTCTTATATTTTGAAGTTGGTTAAACATAAAAATAAACGACTATAAATACTAATACCACGCAAACGAAGTAGCAGGTAAAAGCTAGTATATTGTATTTGAATATTTTTTATTGGACATTGCTATTTTTAAAATAGACAAGAAGTATGTTTAATGGTATGGAAATAAGTTGGCTTATTCTGAGACCACGTGTTTATTGCAAAAAGTACAACACCATTGGAAAAAATGTTATTTCTATTCTCCAGTTGGTTATATTGAACAATATTTGCAATGCCGACAATGCGAGAACACACGGTCCCTGCAATGGATAGAAAATGCCAGCACTGAGCGCACTATAAGAGTATATTGCTATCCGATAACAGAATGATATTGGAATTTCTATACCTACGTGGTGTAATAAGGTAAAGAAATACGAGGTCATTTGTTTAAATAACTGTGGTCTCTTCTAGAAAACATAAATAAACTTATATTGAAGCAATTTCTGCGGTCTGTATTTCACATAATATTCTTTATATCAGCAATAAGGCATAGGATAGAAGTTAGAAATTTATTAATTTGAATGGATATCTATATGATAATGAAATTACTTTTAAAACAATTGGTGTAAACAGCAAGTGGTGGGAATTGATCGGGGAAGCTCTTTATAGTTCCCATGTGGCACTGGCAATATAGTGTTTGTAATCTGTATCTTTCTTAAACGATACGAGGAACTTCAAAAAGATTTAGACCTTGGATCGCACGAGGTAAGGTCCACACCAACCGCTTCTATGGGGCGCGTTGAATCGCTTGATGTTGATGCGGCTGTTTATCAGTAAATTGTTGGAATATTTGTAAACAAATGGAACGGTAGTTTCTTATAAACGAAACTACGATATAGATATTCTACCTGTTCAGACCACTTGAATTACAAGCTTTGATTATATAATAGCGCCGTTATTCTATAACAAGAAATGGTTTCAAGATAAAAAAAAATAAAACAGTGAAGATTATAGAGGGTCGTATCAGAAAGAATTTAAGAAAATGCGTTTATTAACATACATCCATATGATCGATCGGCTAATCGGAATCATCATCAATCACAATTCGACGTTTTTTATCACGCTTCATCGGTAATACGATATCTTCGTCTTCTTTATCACTGTCATCTGAAAACAAAGAATTTTGTACGTTATTTTTACATTAAGAGCCTATTTATCAAATATTGTCATGTTATATAGGACTTCAGTATTAACATATTCTTTTATTATTTTTATTTATATTAGTATTATAAAGGAAATATGACGTTACTGACTTAAAATCATAAGGTTTGTTATAGGAGTAGGTGTTTGAGCTGTATCTTATGGCAACGTTGCCGTGACTATTCTTGGCGTTCGTGAGAAGCCAAAACTAGCTATCAAAGCGGATTCTATACCTATAACGACTGGTATCGCAGCTGACGGTAGAATGATCTACCTATATTATAAAGTTAAATCATGTGGGTAACGCTTTTGGCATAAGTTACGACTAATAATAATAAGAGTATATTTTTACGTTACGTCAAAACTGATTCTATTAATTTATGATGAAATTTTAAATCATATTTGCAGCAATGTTTTATGTTAAAATCAAGGAAATACGAAATGTTGTCTATTCCAAAAAAAAAAATTAAATTACTACATAATTAGTCATTTTAGTGAAAGCAATATATACCGTTAGATGTCGGGATGCCAATCAAAATATCTTCAGTGTCCGGCAAATCTTCGTGTTGGAGCGTTTTCTTAGCAAACGTTAAAATGTCTTCATCTTCATCCTTATAACTGTCTTCATCACCTTCATCTATTTTCTGCATTTTCTCTCTGCCGCTTTTCTCTTCAGGGTCGACGCTGCGACTGCGTTTATTATTACGTTTAACATCCATAGATTTTGTTAGGCTTCCATTGCTCTCATTTTGCAATATGGCCGAATTGTTATCGCGTAGTTTGCGTAAACTATCAAACAAATTGTCGTCATCACTTGAATCATCCTTAGTGTTATTGTCTGTTTCTGTTACTTTCACTTCCGTGAGCGCAATCACAGATGTATCTATTATAAGTTCTTTGTTAACTGCTTTTATTATTATTTCCCTCCTTTTTCTGATAGTTTCGAAATGTAAGTCACTGGGTATTCTCCAATAAGCTTCCTAAAAGTAAATTATATAAGTAATCATCGATTATGCTTCAATTAACAGGTAGTAGCTCGGTTTACTATTAATAGTCCCTTCTCAATATCTGTAAATATTACATCACTTATTGCTTCAGTTTGATGATGAAAAGTCGGTAGTACAAGTATTAAGTCAAGTCAGTATTGTATACATAGATTTGATTTCAAGGTAAGGTTTCAGTTATCGGAAACACCGACCGCACACCAACCATAATGACTGAATGCAATTAAGAAAAGTTTGTTCTATACGTTGATTTGACGGCGAATTGAACGTTGGAGTTCAGATATTACGCAAATACAGTGTGTACGTCTATCGACATTATTGAGTAAAGAAGAGTACAATGTAGGTACATTGTACAAGTTTTAAAGTCAAACTTGTATTATAATTAAGCAAGTAACTATATTAATATCTTTTAAATATCACATTTAATTAACGGTAACGATAAACAAACGAGGTCATTTTCACACGATTTTGTTTATATCAAAGACAGATTAAGTCCTAAAAACGCGCGAAAATCCATAAACTGCGAAATTTATGTTATCGTAAAGTTTATGACCGTGCCCCGTTTAAGATGCGGTTCTTGGTTTGGGTATTCGTAAAATATAATACTTGTCTAAAATTACAATTGTGAATTGAAATAAAGATATAAAAAAAATTGTTTCCTTTGGTAACATAAAAATACAAGTTTTCATAAATATGAGCTTTTATGATACTTTTGCGGAGTGTTAAAATACTTTTGTTTTTAAATAAAAATTGGTTCAAATAGGTTTCATAATCTTAATATTGAAATAATAATATTAAATTGAAATAATATAATAATATTAAAACTGAATTATTGAATTCGAACACCAACTTAAATGCTTGTACTGAAAAGTAGGAATATGTTTATGTAAATAAAAATGAGGTACATACATGGTAACGATTCCACAAATAACTATTACTGTAATGTTACGGTTTTTAGAAATAACTACTTAGTATTTTAGTTCTTAGAATAAGTTTAATTAAAGCCGTAACAGGAAATACTCGTACATATTAATGAATTTTGGTGTACCAAGATGGCAAAGTTATCTTACTTGTTCATCGCTAGGCGGAGTGACGCCCACGCCTTTCAGTACTCGCTGAAATAATTCGTTTTCCATTGCGTCGACTGCTTCTTCCGAAATTGGTACAAGAGGCGTCCCTTCCGAGTTCGGATTATACCCTTCGGCTTCTTGATCCAAAGCCACTTCTTCCAAATTTTCCGCCAGCCATTTTAGACTTTCAATCAGTCCTTAGAAGAATAAACAAAAATATTTTTTTTTATAGATTCCAAACAAATAACACACAGCACAACATTTTTTCTATGACCACTATGTTACGCCCGAAACAAACTTACCGCTATCAACGGCCTCCACTAATAGTTTCGCAATTTCGTTAGCCGTAAGTTCTACTTTTGCTTTTCTTTTACTTCTATTAGTTTCATTAGGCTTTTTCGATTTTTTGGTCGGTTTGACTTTAGTCTGTGGGGGTGGAGACCTCGTGCTAATATCTGAATCCGAATCAGATTCTGATTGGCTGCCTAAAAATAAATATTAATCAGTTTAGAAGCGATTTTCTACTAATAGAATTGTAAAATTGAGCTTCCTTCTTATTTAAGGCTTAGGTATAAGGAGGCAACCTATAGATTCATTACACATTTTGTAAAACTATGTGTAATCTTTCTTTCATCTTTTCGGTTAAGTGATGTTTCAATATGTATATTTTCTTAAATGCGTTGCATTATACCGCCTTGCTATTATATAAAATAGCGTCGAACGCTGTCTTCACATAGAGGTTCAATTAAACAAAACCTTTACTACCTTCTGAAGTTTTATTCCATTGAACCTCTACTAAGCTGTGTCATTTTTGTGCGACGTTCGACGCAGTTTTTTATAGCAAAGCTGATATTATCCCTTGTTATCCGAATGCTAACAACGGTATTTTAAAATTTCATGTTGTTTATAAGAAATTCAGTACACTCCTAAAATTAGCACAAAATTTAATTAATCTACGAAAGGTTTATCTGGGAAAAATCCAGTGAACATGGATAGATATCCAATTAACATAAGTTAAAAAACAAATCTCAAATTGAGCTCAAATAAAGTTGTGTAAACTGTGTTTTTTATAATTAACTGCGGTGATGTAAATTGAAAGGAAAATACAACTACAAAGCTTATTCAACTGGAAAATGTTGGATATTAATATTAATTTAACCTTCATGTCAGCGTGACTTTTGCTACTTGTAAAATGATGAACTGAGGGATAAAAATAATAATTAATATTAATAGCACCATTAATCTCCCAGGATTTTAGTTGACATCAGAATGATGTACTTAACTTTTACAATAATACCAGATATAAACGTTTCCCAGCAAATGAAATTGGTAGCAAGTTGGGTTTGAATTCCATTGTCTCTTTAAATGTTATTGTTACGATACGATACGTGCACTAAAATGGCAAAGAGTCTGTGGAGCTCTAACGTTAAAACAAAGAGCAACCGTTGTTTAGTAACTCACCGTCGTCGGATTTATCGTCGTCTGTTTCAGTGCTTTTAGCGTTCGATTTCTTTTGCCTCTTTTTACGGCATTCATTCTTATCTTTTATAATGCCCAACTCGAGCATTCTGTCTACATAGCTACGCTTTTGACGTTTACGCGGCATACGTGCTATTATTACGCTCATTGGATCTGAAAATTATACTCCATAAGTCTTCGTAACTTTTTCAATAATTTGGACCATTGCTTTAGCTATAAATAAAAATATGAGTTGTTCACGCTGAAGATAGGGTGAACGGCATCAATATTTTATAAATATTTTGTGAAGTATCTGGCTCAGAAAAAAATAGTGTTTTTATTCAGAACATTATTGGTTCGGAATTGATTAAAGAAGGTATATTTTTTATTATAGATTGTAAACTGTCAGTAATATATTCTCGGCGTTTATTTGGAATATTTGATTTTTTATGGTACTGTGTTACCTTCTATTTTCCTCACCACATTAAACCTTCAATGAAGAAAAAGGTTAAATGTATGACTCTAATCGCTCCAATGGGTAAAATTTTTACCGATGAAGAAAATATTCGCTTCAGGTGTTGAATTGCTTTATGTAAATGGATTTTCTTGTTGGAAATAGCCGAATATATGATGCAAATATAAAAGTATAAGCTCTTTCTTAGAAGCAGACGGTAACTTATACAGAGTTTGTAGATTTATTTTTGTAATATCAAATTTAGATAAGTTTTACTTCATTCGTTTTTTAAATTAAAAATGGTTTTTGAGGAAGAATTTGTCGTTTATGATACATGAGATTAATTATAATTAATCGAAGGTTAAAATTATCATGTCAATGAATGAAACGTTATTTTATGGTCCTACTGACAGACATACAGAAATAGATCTCACCTTGCGAATCTCCGTATTGTTCCCACAACTCTTTTAATAGACAATCCTCCTCTTCACTAAACACTTTTGGTGTTTTCTCCTTGGCATTCTCTCGATTACTTCGCTTAGTAGGTGCTTTGAATATCAGTCCGAGTTCCTTAAGTTTCTTTATCACGCCTCGGCGAGTACGAGTCTGGTCGATTAAATTTTCCAGAATCCAGTCTATGACATCTGGAAAAATTAAAAAGAAATTAAAACCTCTCTACGACTATTTAAGATGTTGACAATGAATACACTTTAATTTTTAGTCATAAAAGACAGTGTTTGCTAGAACTAGAAAACTTATCCTAAAATTATTATAATAACTTATTTTATTTTAACGGCGTCTAACTTAAAGCTAAGTTTACAGACAAAAGAATAAAACGTTGCCATTGTATATAGCCTTCAGCTATAAAGTGACTCTTATATTTATTAATTTACAAGAACAAAGAAAACATGGCGGTGATTTCATGATTTTATTTTATATAGATAAAGTCTTACAAGTTCATGTTTTTGCTGCAACAAAACCTTTAGAAATAGATGTAGTTTTCTTATTTTCAGTAACAGCTTATATTTTTTTGTACAAAACTAATTGAAAAATAAGAAATTTTAATGTACGAGACATATCAACATATATGCATGATTCTTCATTCGAAACTAAATAATATTGTGAGTGAGTATGTTATGTTATTCGTACATAACTGTAAATAGTAATTTTGTATACTGTATCATGTCAAATAGCTTTTAAACTAAGTCAAGAAATGTATAGCTTTTCTGCAGTCTTAGTTTATAATATGAAGTCTCGAAGCAGAGAATTATGTTTAATGCTTTGAGAATTGGGAAGATATCCAAGAGCGAAAATCATTATGTAAGGCATCGATATCGAAAGTGACTGTGTATAATGTCAAACTATATTATGTGCTTAGATGTAAAACAAGCGACTTAAAACGATTGATATCAATTGTCCCGATTTACAACCCTAATTTATTCGATGGAATACTTGTCTACAATTACTAATACGAAAATGATATTCTAGTTCATTTTGCTATTTATTTACATTGCCATGTACTTTATTACCGAATGATAAAGAATCATTTACTACTAAAACGTTCATCAAAATTGACATTAATTTGAAGCGACATTACATTACTACAATTTTTTTAAAGTTGTGTAAATTTTTAAATGAATGTTTCATTAAAGCTTTAGTCGTCTTAGGAGTCGTCTTTAGAGATAATATTCATTTATCCATCTATGTGAAAGTTGTAAATAGAATAATTAAACGTAATATATCCATAACATCGCTAAGATGTTCATGGTAGCATTGAATATAAGGTACATGGTAGCATTCACGTATTAAACAATAATTCTAATGTCAATAACCGTAAAAGTTAACAAGCAACATAAAGCTCGCATTAAAACAAATGAAAGTTAAGTTTTATTTAATTTTACCTTGATTTGTGGCGGGGTTAGTCTGGTTTTCCATATAAAGTGTCCTCAGTTCCTCCTCTTGTTCGAGAGTCCACGAACCTACGCCGGGCTTGTCCCTGTCACATCACTAACTTTGTATCACCCTTTGTAATTAATCATAGTTTCGAAATACAGATCAAGCAGATTATAGAGACCGTAACATTTTTCTAATGTAAGGACTTATGCTGACTATATGTTTGTGGAAGCTTAGAACAAAGATGACATGTTGATATTTTTAGAAAAGTAACAAAAAATTTGCTAAATGCAAAGGAATTTAAAGATTTCCTTTGAATAATATCAATTTTTAATAAAACATGCTTAAAAAATTAACTTTGTCCCTGGCACTCTGAGATGGGACACGAATCCATGACTTTTCGCAATCCGGGCGAATGCTCTATCCACTGAGCTACCCAGGACCTAACAGGACTGACGAATTTTCCAAGCACTTATTACTTTTTGTTATTATAGAGTGCATTTTCATCACGATATTGATACAATATACGTTTCAATATTAATAGGTATACGATTTGTATCGCTTACTCCAAGTTGCTCTGTAAATCTTTTCATGTTCAAATATATTTCGTAAGATGAATCTCTAAAGGAACCTGCTCTATGGGGGAATGAGAAATTTCTTATAATACTTCCACGAATATCAAATCTCTTGCAATTTCCTTCTCTGTGTACGGTATATAATCTGCGCGTGTGCGACCTACATATTGTATAACATTTATGACGACTAAATTAGACGCGCTCTCAGAGGTTAACTTTGGGGTGCCGCAGCAAAGATTGATGATAGTTGAAAAGAGTTACCGTTAAAATAGGTAGTATTACCAGGGTTATATTTACTTCTGGATGATGACTATATATCATTGTACTAAACGATAACTACATAAATGTATTATAATTTTATTACAGTAATGAGTATTGACTAATGATTACTCAAACAGCAAAGATATATGATTTTCGCTAGAGAAAGGATCCAGTCTATTCTGCCAGTCGAAAAAGTATGTAGAAAAATCAATTTGTATAATGTAAAATGTAAGTCGTTTGTATAATAAAATTAAAATTTGAGTGTATCTACTATTAATAGTTATTTGTCACAGAGGGGGAGGGGGAGATTAATCACTTAATGGGTGTAGATTTGAGGCAAAATTAATGATAGGTGACCAACATAGCCAAATCATATAAATAATCCGTAATGAGTTTCAAGGTCTCGTCGTGTTATTTAAATTTATACCAAGTGAACTCATTGTTACTAGTACACGAGTTTTGTCAAACTGCTTAACGTTAAAAGCTAAAATATTTTAGCTTGTTTTGAAGAGGTTTTGCATAAATGACTAAAACTTGACAAATTCCTTGCCTAGATAGCATTTGTTTTTTAAGTTTGTTATTAGCGAAACAACAAAACGGATGTAAATGTTATTTATCAGACAGATTAAGTAGGATTATTTTATGCCGTAAAAGGTTACTTAGATATCACGATTCGGTAATCAGCAAAGACGGAGTTGCAGGTATAAGTTTTGTATCATTACTTACCTTTGATTGGTGGAAATGTCATAACCCTGTTCAATATCAATCGCATCTTTGGAGTCCTTCCAAAAGAGTAACTCGATATATACTTTAGGATTTCTCGAAGCTACTTCGGTAAATTTTCTAAAGATGAAGATTGCGAATTTCTCTATTTCCTGTGAAATACACAACCAACTCATAATATAATTGTCTTAACTCAGCCAACTGTCGTAGGATCTATTTCAATATTCACCTTATACTGTGGCATTGGATTGTCAAATATCTTTTGGAAAATAAGAAATAAAGTTGCTTGGAACATCATCGTTGGTAATTTAGAGTCCCAAGCTATTCTGTGCAGCATTTTCATTATACAGTGGTTTGTGTGTGGAAGATTTTTATCGTAGCGTTCCAGCAATGATATACATGCATTCACTACACGGGCATTACAAAACCTATTGAAAAATAACGTAATATTAGACTTCCAGGTGCTTTATGGTATACAGTACGCTAATATCTGCTGTTTACCTTAAGACGAAGTCATTAAAATCAAAATTAGTTTCGACTACAGCTGAAGTCTTCTCTTCTTCACCTTCTTCTAAAATAAACAGTTTGAAAATATTATTTAGTTATCATTATGAAACAACAAGTATTATTAGTAGGCAAGTACTTACCTTCATCCTCATATTCAGAGTTTATCTGTGATGCTTCTTCGGTGTCGTTAATAACTTCGTCTAAAAAAATATAGCGTCAACTCAGATGAAGAGAAAAAATGGTTTGATGCATTTCAAAATAATTACTTAAAAACCAGTCTTAAAGCATTGAGATAGAGCTGAAAATAGTATGGAAACGCGTATTAAATAATCTAGCAGATAATTTAGTTAATACTCTTGAATATCATTTCCAGCTCTACCTAGAGGGGATTAAGTTGATATTTAAGTGAATTTAAAAATTGCTCGAGTATCTTACTTAATTACTAGTATCTTTAATTAATTTAAGTCTAAGAGCTAGTTACACAGGGTTCGCAAAAATCCGATATTTATAATAAATATAAAAATATCGGATATCTATAAGATATATATCACGCATATGAAAAGTTTGATGCATAAGTATTAAATTTTAATAAAAAACAAGTCGTTCGCACTTCGCCTTCATATTACGGGGAAAACCCGAAATTTTTAAAAGTAACATTGCGTCGGGAAAACTTCTGGCCAATGTTGCCAGCGTCACATTGAGTTGGTTAATTTTCTAGTCTCGATACTCAATACTAAAACTAACAATAAATATCAATTGATATATTGATATATATATCATGATTGATATATATCCGTTGATATTTATCAGCGAACCATGGTTATATCTTATTTTATATAATGTAATAGAGTCAAGCCAAATATTATTGCAGTATAAAGTAAAAACTGTAATTCTAAAAATGATCATAGGGTATGGCAATGGTGATTTAATTGCCTATGCAAATGAGAGATGAAATTTGATTCCAGCTTTCGGATATTCTAGTCAGATTAATATAAAAAAAAAAAAACAATAAAACGAGATTTAAATCAAACTCAATCATAGTTTTTTGCGGGATTGCTACCATGTTACCTTGTTTTTGGTGACATTGTGAAGAGTGGTACGAGTATTGAACTAAAAAGTACTAGAAAGAAGGTAGATACATCTGCCTATGACACCCTTCCGCAAATACTCCGTGATCATGGCACTTCCAACAGCGCCGAAATTTTGGGAACTCAACAAAAACAAGGTATACGGTTGCAATCCCGCGAAAAACTATCATTCTAATATAAATGACTATGAAAGCTTAAAACAACAAATATTAACTAAATCGGTTGACATATTATATTGATAGCTTCGAGGTGGTTCTAGAGTCGCAATTCTGTTTCATACCTGTTAATTCGATATCTAAATCAGTATTATATATGGTTTCTAGCATGTTGAGTTCTTCGTCTGCTTGTATACCGATTTCACCGAATATACCATCTTCAGGCCACACATCTCTGTAAGTGAAATATATAGTGTTGCTTTTATTTCGCCCCACTAAGAAAGATGTTTGAAATCATGTTACTTACCTTGCTGCTCTAAACATTCCCACAGCATCTTCAAACTTATGTACCTTCATGTGTTTTTGAATATTCTTCATACAATCCTCTCTGTGAACAAATTGGATATTCAAAAAAGGGATCTCCTTTAGTATTTGCTAAAACGCAATCTCTTTTTTCACAATCGGTGGTCTCCAGAATAGGGACACCGTTAGGGTTGTTTATGACGGTAGTTGGATAAAAAATCTTAGGGTGGAAGATTCATCCGCGGATGAATAAGCGTAGATTTGCTGCTCTAGTCTCGTCGTGACCACTGCGCAGGTCAGTTCAGGTCAGTGTAAAATCGCGTCTAATACCCGGTATTATACCTAAGTATTTAAGGGATACCTAGTTACTTAGATTTTTTTAATTATCATTGCTGATGAAAGCAATGTTACTATTTCTCAATGTAATGCTTTAAGAGGTACTTAAATCATACATGTTTAAATATTTTTATATAAAAAAAACATACATCGCCGTCGAACATACAACCCTACCACTTTTGGATTTTGAAGTCGGTTAAAGAGCTCTAGGCGAAAAAAAAGACAATGATATAAAGTTTGTTTCGAAACATATCTTTCAGTAGGGTCCTGGCTTCATGTTGAAGGGTGGATAAATTCAGTTTTCCCAATAGGTCATAAGAGTAACAATAATGTAAAAGTAAGGAATAACTGCCTTATAAGAATAGTCCAGTATCTGGCAGAACGTGTGTCTCAGCCGATTTATACCAAAACCACTAGACTGATCAAGTTCAATTTTGGTACCCATAATATAAGTAAATGGCCCAAAGAAGAACGTTTAACGTTGATAAATTCCTTTTCAACTCATCGCTCACTGAATACTACAGTGGGTACTAAAAAAATGATTTTCATAATTATAAATATATTAAATTTTCATAACTTCGGAGAGCGTTTCTCGAAATATGGTTTTTGAGTTGTGCCACTGTAGTATTCAGTGAGCGACATAGTCTCTTTTTGGTGAGTAAGTCAGACTAGCTGTTTTCCCGTGACTTCACGAAAGCCCAAAACAAGTTTGTTGTTTTAAAAATAATATTATCTTTGTGATATTGAAGTATTACGCGAGTCCGACGGCACTAGGCCGGTTTTATTAAATACTTGGTGGAACAGAACGACCGACACTCCCGAGGTTCCTGGAGAGTACTATTTGTCTTTAATATGATGTAAAAAAAATTATAAGTCTAGGTCAAATAGTTTCGGAGATATTAAATTACAAAGTTTTTGAAAAAAAAATGAGTGTTTTCAACCCTGAGTCAGATGTTTTTGGGACGTACTAAGGAAAAGTTTTTAATCGGTCATTGACTTCTTCATTTCTAAAAACGAAATTAACTAGTTTGTGATTTATAAGACTGCTTTCATGCAATTCTACCAGACAATCAATAAACAAGGCAGTCAAAATGCTTAAATCGATTTACAGACTAACAGCCGGTTTCTGATTTGAAAAAGTAGTAAATTTCTACTGCTTAGTCAAAGTCAAAATAATCTTTGACTATCATTAAGATATCGGTAAACAATAAAATAAAATTAATGTATTTCGCGGTTCGTTGTAATCTGCACACAATCGATATTGCGCATGCGCGTTATAGGGCTAACAACACTTAGAAATTTAAATCTTTTCCTCCATTTTTACACCTCCTCTATTTTTAAATATTTGTCAAATAAAATGAACGTTTGCATGTAACCTAACTTGAAACTTTTGGCTGTGTCGGTCATTTTGTTCCTCCCAGTATAACGATTATACTTGAATCCTAATTAAGATATTGTCAGTTAGAATTGGTACTGATTTTTATAACGTCTCCCTCCTAACTTTTGAACTCGTATCAATATTATATGACACAATACTTTTTTTTTTTATTAAAATAAAACTTTATAAATGATTTTCCATTTTTGTTTGGTAATAGCTAAGTGCTGATGTGCAAGTCAGTCCCGTCAGCTAGCCGTGGCACTCATGCACCCCGACCTTTTACCACTCGTGCCTGTCAGCGGAAATACGAGATGCTTACGCTACACATTAGCCTTATAATTTATTAAGTGGAATGTATAATGTGTCTCCATTACTCACTGTATAATTTGTAATATAATAAAGCGCGATTAATTTGACTGAGGTAAAAGTTAAAGGGTTTCATCGAAAACTTACAGAATATTGAATAATAGGGATGCTGCCCCAGGTAAAAAAAAAAATTGTATATTTAATCTGACACTAGAAAAATATTAGATTTTTATTTTTTTGCCTTAAGTTAACAGGAAATGACTTCGACAATAGACATTTTATCTGAGTAGTGGGAGTTCACTACGTCACAACTATGTAGAAAATCACTCGACCGAAATCGAAACAGAAACTTTCTACTTACTTTTTAATAATCTACATGACAGGCGAAAAATCGACAGACACAATCTCACATTAAGCTCCACAACACAAAAAAATACATATATCCGCAATTAATTTTAAACTCTAGACGCACCGAGCCGGCCGAGTAGTTCGCAGGTCGGTTTCAAGGTGTCGCCATCACTGAAGTCCCGGGTTCGATTCCCGGTCAATGTAGAATATTAACTTTACTATATTGTCTCAGGTCTGGGTGTTTTGGTACCTTCGTTGTCTCAGATACTTGATAATTCGAGGGATTTAGCTACTTATCTTGGAATCTGAGCAATGAATGTGATGTTGTTTAAAAAAATTATGAATTAATGTGCTAGCTAACAATGCTACTGAGTGGACTTGCTTAATGAACTATGATCGGAATAAATGGATAACAATAAATACAGACCTTGATTTGACCAGATTGCCAATGTGTTGGGTATGGGCTTAAGAAGAAAAGCTGATTTGTCTAGCCCGTCTGTAAGATAGTTGCTAGTTTTAAGGGGCATTGTTGATCGAGACGCGGCGACAAGACGTATGTCCGGATGTTAAAGTGTGATTAAATCAAGAAGTCTTATTACATCAGTTATAGGTACTGTAACGTCCATGCACATTACTATAGATATGCTTTTCGAACGATTTATGGTTAATGCTTGCCGCTATATTTCATAATGTTACTTTTTCTCGTTTGAATTCGTGTTTTCTTGTTTTGCTGGTTGATAAACTTTCTTTCTGCGTACGTCGAACCAGCATAGAGTCAGTATTTTAAAGGTATTAATTATAAGTTATTTGATGTACTGTATTTAGTAATAAACTCGAAAGTTTGAAGAATTCCACTAAGTATTTCATTTTGCTCCCCTGCACTAATTCAGATCCATCACCGCAACGGTGAAGGAGCAACGTTTCGAAACAAAAGGATACCTATCGTAAGCCAAGTGAGGAAAAGAGAAAACCAGAAAGCGAGACATCATGGAGAAATATAAAGGTTTACAAGGTGACGTGGTTGATTACAGCGGCAGCAAATGGATAACAAGAAGCAAGGAAAGATACTCACTTTTGTTGGTCTATAGGAACGTCGGAGGCGGCATCGAACGGCGGCGGATGTTCTTGCACGTCGGCACTGAGCACCACCGCCAATTGAGCGCGGACCTCTTCCCAAGTAGGTGCAATACGCTCAACCACGCGACGAGCAACCGGCTGTTTCCGCTCTATATTTCAAACCAATGCATGCCAGCAAATTCATTAATAAATCATTTACAGTACGAGCTGCCCATCTCTGGAATGCATTGCCAGAGGATATCAGACGGGCACAAAGCATACACATTTTTAAAGGACTAGTTAAAGAGCACTTTGTATCCTTAACTATCACCCAAAAGTTAAAATGCATCTAAATCTTATTATATTTATATAGGATGGTACATTTATGATTTATTGTTTATTATGGTATTTATTATCTATTATATTTATCTACCTTATATAGACTATATTTATCTTATATTTAGCATTTATCTATTATATGGTACTTATATGATTTACTGCCGTATTTTTTATTTAATTCATTTATTAAATATGTGTAAATTATACTGTACTAAAGTTTTTGAGTCACCATTAGCTATCCAAATTTAGATATAATTTTTCCTGTACGCAAAGGTTGCCTAGAAGAAATAGCAAATTGTGTATTTTAACTTATTGTATCTATTTGTTTTTGTTCTGTATTGGTGTTATTATTTTTTCATCCGTCTTATTTCATTCATTTATAATGTTACACAATGGTGACGACCTCCGTAGCCGAATGATTCGTACGGGTTTTATTTCCAATCGGGTCAATGTAGAGAATGGACTTTTCTACATTGTCTCTGGTCTTGGTGTTGTGGTGCCTACGTTGTCTCAGATACTTCGTAATACAAGGGCTTTAGTTAGTCATACTGGATTTTAAATAATGTATGTGAAGTTATCTTATATTAATTTAATTATATTTCGGACATTTGGACAGAATGACGGATGAAAGAATGAAAAAACTTGAGGGAGAACAGAATGCTGTTAGGTGATGTCAGAAGCTATAAAATCCGGCGACCGTGTATGAAAAGAGTAATGAAAGTAGACAAGACGAAAAATGTATGTAATTACAGTGGTCTGTGGTGTTCGGTCGGTCCTCTCTGCCTACCCCGCAAAGGATACGGCGTGAAAATATAGAAATAGATAGCTGTCATACGTAAACAACTGTTTGTTATGTACTCATTAAATAAAAATTAATTTTACCAATCGTTTTTTCCATGTACAGTGTATTATTTCATTAAGACAGATTTTATTCGCACACCATAAAGTAAAGTTATCATACATATTCCGCGAAAATAATAAAATTATTTTTAGCAGCAATTAAGTTGAACAGAGTAGAAAAAATACATTTTATTGGCTTAACTCTTATTGTTATCATGATAAAAGTGTGATGAATAATGAGTACTCTTATAATGAAATGTGATCTGCTTTATAAATTGTTTGCCAAAGGAACCTAAATAAAAATGTTGTAAATAAACAGATACTTACTTTTAGATTTAGTTTTCTTTCTTACTTTTTTCTGTACCACTAAACCAGTTTTCTTGCAGTAATGTTCTAGCATTTTTAAAAACAAATGTACTGTTTCTATTAAGTCAACAAGATACGATCTACGAAAAAAATATGTTGTGCATTAAATACATAAAAATTAATAGTAAATTGATTTTTTTTTATTAATTACTTTACTTTATAAAAGATGTTTAAAAATCCACCAGCTGCAGGTACTCTGAGAAAGAACTCGAACCCATAACCTTTCGCAATCCTGGCAGCTGCTCTAAATACTAAGCTACCGAGCACCCGAGGGCTGTAGATGCTGTTTTCAAGCACTTGTTACTTTTCGCTACTAGTGACAGGTGGATTTTTTTTAACATTTTTCATTAATAATATTTTCCATTATAGCATTGTGAGTGAATTACCTGGGCATTTTATTTTCATCAAAATTCAATACTGTATCAAGTATGAACTCTCTATATTCAAGAACATAAAATATATTACTTTTAAGAACTTTTGCAGAATCTTTGACCGATTGATCTGTGGTTTTTTCCATTGCTAACAATGTATTTAAAAGTTCTTTGTATGCTCTCAGAGACAAATGGAGCCGTCTAACCCAAGGGGTGAATTTCTTCTTCTCTAATTTAATCATGTCATAATATTTCTCCATTTGTTGCTGTACATAATGAAACATGGGTACAGACATGGTTTCACTAAAAAAGAAATGATATGATAACTTCGAAATAATTCAAAAACACAATTTTTTTTTACAATTAATTATGAAATATGGTACCTGACTAGGCCTACTTGGAAGTTATATCCTCTATTGAACTCCATGAAAAATTTCACAGCCCATAAGTAGTAAGACTCATCATTTTGCTGAGCCCTAGCTCTGACTAGAACATCTTTCACATAATGCATCAAAGGGTTATAGGAGCTGTTTAAAAATTCTATACAAAATTCTTTCAAAAATAATCTAAAATAAATTATATAAGCATCAATAATAATTATCATCACCACTGAAAAAATATTACAAAATTATAGCTGGCCATACAACAATAGCAATGCAACAACATATAATCAATTTGGATCATTATCAGATCAAAGTTGTGGATTGATGCATCTAGCATCAATCAACACATGACCAATCTAATTAAGATCACGGATTTATTTATTAGTATATTTGCTAAATACCTAATAGCAAATGCCGATCTCCTTTCCATTGTGCCACTTTCCACAGGTCTTCTATTTTTTGGTCTTATAAATTTTGATTTTTTACTGCCACTAAAATCTAAATTTGATATTTTATTTAAAGGTTTCAAGCATATAATTTCATTTTCAGATAATGATTTCATGTTTTGAACAACATAGGTGCCACCGAAACGCGAATGCCTAAAAACAAACACATAATGATAGAATCATACTACAATATAAAATAACAAATGAGATGTATATTTAACTATGTGCTCACTAATTCACATTAAGTTATCTATCACAATACTCGAAATTCAGTAATAGATTGTGATTTTAACTTTAAACTTAGGTTTGAAATCAATTGTGATATTTTGGCAGTTTTAGGTAAGCTGGTTGTGCTGTTGACTATACCTTGATGCTGAATATTGTTTAATTTTATTTATTCTGTTCTTGTTTTCTGTCATTCTCAATGAAAGAAGTTCTTGCTCATCTCTGAGTTTTTCATCTACGCTCCTCTGTAATGCTGCATCGGCTAAACTATTTGGATTTTGCTCTCTCAATAAATGAGATATTATTTCTAGGATGTGCATGAAATACTGTTTTTCGTTTTCAGATGACATATACAATATTATATCAAGAATACCAGCTTGATTTAGAGCCCAGAGTACCTAAAATAAATATCAGGCAATAGACAAAAGGGTACATTTTAGTAAGATAATTTATAAATTATTAAATACATATTTGAAAAAATCATTATAATAAAATTAATTATGAACAATGTATACAAAAAATGACATGTCCTTTTTAACATTATGTTGCAACATATTATAATAATATGGCAAACGGAAATATTATAATAAATAATATTTCAGTTTGCCATATTTTAAAATACAACTGGTGACATCTAATGACAGCTATAGAAACAGAGTACAGTAAAACACGTTTAGATGATAAAGATAGATGCAAAAAAGGTTATTAAAATTAATCATTTGTTAATTTTCCCAGCGTGTCTTTGCTTTGATCAAAAGATACTACAAAGTGTTTTAAATCATGAACATTTGATACTGCCTAGGTATTTGATAAAATGGGAGTCGACTCATTTTTGTTTTTATCATTATCACTTACGACCCATTTGTGTTATTCACATACTCAATATACTACGGTACCGCTGGAGAATATTCAACAGGTTTGAAGAAATGTAATAAATGAGAAATGGTTGAAAACATGTAAGTTGCAAGAACTGGAAAATGCATGCGAGAATATTTACTTTTATAATTAAAGTCATGAATATATCTTCTAACCCTGATTATATGTTGCAAATCCTTTTAAGATAATTTTTTTTCCAAAAAGCATTGGATCTTCTATATCTACATCTTCACACTACATCAATTGAAGAGTAGCTCTGTCTACTGTATATACAATAAATATCATAAAGAGCGGCCCTATATCCAGTACTATAACATTTAAAAATAATTATTATGCATGTAATAGAAATCAATGGGTTTAATTTTAGTATAAACAAGTTTCACTCTATTAGAATAAGTTATTTTGAAATTTAATATTTACTCAGTATTATTTCTACTTTACTTTATCATTTGTTATATAATTTAGAATAATTTTAACTTACTTGATCATGTATACTCGCATCATTTTCTGGCCTCCTTTCTTTATCTAGATCAGCAGGCACATGTAATATGTTCCTAATCAGAATCAATATTCTTTCAATTACCAGGCCCGTGTCTTCATCTCGCTCACTCCAATCCTGAGTGAATTATTATTAACACTATAAAGTATACAAATAGCATGTACGTTATATCTAGATAAGAGTAGATGGGTTAGATATATAGGTTTCAGTCCCATTTCAGGCACCTGAGATTAAGTTTATAAAGTAAGTTTATTAATAATTTTGGTTGTACTAACAATTTCTAATACTTTAGCTAATTTTTTGGCAAACACATTCCATGTTTCCACCTTTGTAAATGCCTCTTCCTTGTAAGATTGCAAATGAGACAAGATTTGCAAGTAATTGTGGCGTGCAGTTCTTTCAACAGGTACCTCCTCTCTGTATAATAACAACGCTGGATTGGTCAAATTAACTAGTAGCCTAAAAACAAAGATTGATGAATTATTATAACATTTATTTTTAAAAGAGAAAAATTTATAATTGCCAACTTATATGAAGCTATTTAAATTCCAAACAGAAAATCATGGCCAGTAGAATGCAGCTGTTACCTTAATGTTACATCGAATAATTCTTCATTTTCCCAATGAGTAACCAGCATTGGTATCAAATCAGTTTGTAATACTTTAGTTTGACCAAAATGTCTTCTAATTTCATGATCTTCTCCATCTCTTCGAAGATATCTAATCAAATCTTTTACCGTGTTAAGTGTAAAATCGTCTATTAAATACTTTTCTGATTTTTTATCAAAAGTTCCTAAAGCGTTGCAAGTAGCTGAAAGTTCTGCGGAAAGTAGAGTAGTCATTTTGGAAACGGGTCACTATAACTTAAACCTACTTTAGTTTGTTTCCATTACTGCTTCAAAACCACTATATAAATTAAGTCACAGGCTTTTATTAGATTATTGACAGTGTAATTCAATAAAAACAGAAACGCAAAGAATTAGAAAAACACGACGAAAAACAGTCAAACTGACATTGACAATTTGATTTGCCGCGAAAATGGTTTTTTTTCTTTTTTAGGCAATGATTTGGAGACTATGCAGACTTGTCTTTGGTATTATGTTTTTTTAGTGAATATAGAAATTTAGCTTATACAGCCACATACTTAGGATATATATTTCATTTTCATTCAATCTTAATATAATAGTACTTCAATAGTTTATCGGCAATTTTGGAGCTTATCATGAGATGAAAAATTACAGAGAAGTCTGTAGAGTCTTCCCTTTCGATCACACAGTATAAGTACCTATATGAAGCACCTTTCCACTTATCAACTCATAAATAATAGGTTGTCCTATTTGACTGAAATATAAATATTCTACGCTTCATTAATTTATAATTTGTTATAATGAAAAACATTAAGTAAAGCACCAGAATTCTGTTAGTAGAAACAATGAATAATCATTAAAAATACATAATTATTCATGCCTAAAACCCTTTTTTTAGTATTCTTTGTATGATTGAATGAATATTTTAAACATATTCTTATACAGAAATATACAGAATCACAACATCTTCATTTAATATATTACCTAGACCTGCAAAATGTAGCGCACGTGTTCAGAAGCCCACATATACCAATAATATTATGCCATTCCAACGAAATAACATATTACACCTAGAATAAATAACTTGTTTTTTATAAAAGTTGGTTAAAAACAAACTAAAAGGAATCCTTTTCAAGTAGTTTTATAACTTTGTCAATGTTATGTTTGCCTTTCTTGTAAACAAAGAAATTGCAATAGAAGGATGATTAGGGAACGGACTTAAGGGTTATAAGAATTAAACTTTTGGCCGAAGTAGAAAATAAGATTTTTGACTTTCTAATAAGAATATATAAGCAATGGCATAATGTATACAATGAGTCAGTTTATTATTAAAGGTAATAAAACGAAAGCTTGGATGTCTTTTTACACTTCATACTTGGTTTGTTTTTGTGTTTACTGTTTGTGTTAACAAACCTTAAATTTCTGTGTTCTTATTTTAATCTCTCTCGAAATTATCAATTTAGATATGTTATACTAGTTTTCCGAACAACAACTAGTTTTGCTACTCAAATCTCAAAATTCTCAAATCTATTTTAATCCATATATCGTAGACTTTTAGGTTTGAGGTTGATTGTCGAATTTTGACATTTTGTTGTATCTTAATGTGCTACTCTGTGTACAAACAGAAGCTGGCAGATGGCCAGACTCCTGCGTGAGCCTATTCTACGTAGCGCGCATTCTTGAACGTAGGTAAGTAAGTTAATTTATTTGTATTTAATTAGTAACGATGGAAATAAAGCAACCTAGGAGCATTGTGTAATTCCAAGCTGAAGTTAATTTAGTAGCTTGGTACTTTATTAGGTACACACGGCTGCACGTCAGACTATACATTGTGGACTTTGTACTGACCTGCCCTTCGTATAGCTCTTCCCTACTAAGAGGTCTTTACGGTGGGGATGTGTAGCGTGACGTGCGGCCGTGCGTACATTATTAAAGTCGCAACTTACGTGAAAGCATAGCCCTTCAATTCATCATAATAATGTCTTATAATTTCATTTACGAAGTTATATATTCGAAATATAAGTTTTTTGAATATAACATTACCCTTTTCAGATTAATTATTATTTTATTAACTTTACTATTATTCTCAAACTTATTTTATTTAAGTTAGTTTTATTTTAGTTTCTGTGCAATGTATTCTCGTGCAGGGTACTATAGAATTTTGGGACTCATTTAAAATACATACAATTCAAACGAACTTTCAATTCATGTTGCGAAGCTATTTGAGCATCCATTGCTTGCTGCAGTTGCTTGGCGGACGGCCAGCGAGACGCTCGCAGTACGGTAGACACTATATAAATCTTCATTCCTTTAAAGTTGTTAGACGTATATTGGTAATATATAACTTGTTATAATAAATAGTTTATTGGTAAATATCATTACTATAGTGTAGATAAGTTTGTAAGTTGTAGAATAATTTACTTAAACTATTTACGGCGTGATATAGAAAGATAAGTTGAAATGGAAACTATAACAAGTCGGTGTGCTAGTTGTACAAATCATAAAATATACATAACTATCTAATTAAGTAGTATAGGTATTATGATTTTAGTATCCGACTGAATGTTTGGTTTCGGTTTCGGTAGAGTTTCGGCAAAAAACGGGTTTCGGTTTAGTTTCACGCACACACTCAAACTATAGGAATGGAGCATTATTTATTGTTACGCATAGTGTTTTATATAGGTACAATTTTGTTTCTAATAAATGAATAAAAAGTTTATCTTCATTAGCACAAGAACAATGGCTTTAAGCCCGTAGCAGTTGGCATAACAAGTGATCCTGTAGAACGCTGCGGTCCTCGACAGGACGACATAATCCTCCTGATTGGTATAGTGCCAGCATTGTCTTTGGCGCTCAGCCAGGCACAATCGGCCAATGCAATACCGGATGAATTAATATGTGCACATTGTCGATGAGGATTGCTACTTAGCTTTGAAGGTACATTAATAGCAGTTCGATGGGCACTAAGTTATGACTTTAAAAATAATTTCGTTTTGTGTTTGTTATTTTTAATGTTTACCTAAATATAAGTATCCTGCTATCAGATACCTAAAAAAGAAAGCTTTTTAAGGATGTATGTATGTTTGTTAGTCTTTCACGTCAAATTTACATACGGATTTTGATGAAATTTGGCATACGGATACACTCTAAGCCTAAATTAAGACAAAGGTTACTTTTTATCTCACTTAACAGTTTTCAAGGGACCACGCGGGCGGGGCCGTTGGCGTAAAGCTAGTCTACAATAATGCCTACATGCTGCGACCATTCATCAAGCGCCTTTTTATATTTGTTGTGGTCGCCGCGTTCATAAGTGGTAACTCAATTAAAAAGGTTTTTATTTGAATGTTGGTCATCGTTTTACTCTGTTTATATCTCTTTCCACACAGAATTTGCTCCGCCGGGCCCTGTGCAAATATGTTCACCTTTTTGCCGCCGCACCAGTCCACTCTTTGATCCTTTTAATTCAAATTTTGAAAAGGCCTCTGTAAATATAGACCGGAATTGTATTTATTTTTGATATCGATCATAATGGACGCATTAATATATGAATACATTATTGTTACGAATGAAATGTCTTAATATTTTTGAGGAGGTAGATAATATTTGTCTTTCACATCGAATTAAGAGTCTTCTAATGTTAATGCAAATAAATGTTTTATTAAACAAAACAAAATTTGTATGTATTGTAAACTTTTTATGTAGTTTTAGAGTTAAACTGGTACCTAGTATAATTTATCAAAAGAAGTTTAAAGTTTTTAGAAGAACATAATTTTATTCAAATTTTACAACTTTTCCTAGTTTGAACCAAGGGAAAGAAAAATAATCGACTTCGCAAAAGGAAAAATTAATTTAGTAGTCATTTTCTCTGTATTATCGTACTACCTAATTCTTTTGCAGTCTCAAAACTTTCCTTGAGAAATATATAACGGGGTTGCCAACCAACCGTTCGTGTTCTAAGACGAAAAGGTTCCGCACTCTTGGGAACGGGGGACACAATGAACGAAACATAATGAAACTTGTGCCGGCAGCAATTCCCATAAATCGTTTATTGCTCATCGACTCTCTTATAAGGCTACGAATTACGAGATCCCCTCCGGAGGATCAATATTGATTATTAATTAAAATACTCGAACCCTCTCTGGAAAATATCTCTGTATCAATACTTAGTTTTATGATTTAATAGTTCACAACTTTGTTCAATAGAATTTATGTAGTACCGGATATGGAAATATAAGGTTTTTCATTAATATCTAGTTTTGTAGGTTCTATATTCAGACGATTAATAATGATAATCTTAGTTGTGAAGCATATGAAGAAATTTTGTTTGGTATTTAATATTAATCTCATATAATAAGTTTTATTATCTTAAATGACCAAGCAAATGCTTAAGAAATGCTTGTGTGAATACAAATGCTTGAAAAAAATCGGGTAGCTCAATGGTTAGAGTTAGACAGATAGTTTTTTAAACATTTTTGATTAAAAATATCCAAAATCATGTTTAAAAAAGAGGAACTTGATACGCGTAGATACTTAAAAATAATAAAGTTTTCACCACTATCTGGAAATAACTTAATTTGTCCATCGCATATTGAAATATACAAAAGAGCTTTAAAAAGGTACTTCAACTGCATCTCATTACGAGATCGTACGTAAATCAAACGTACCTAGCTATTGCAAGTGCACGTTGCGGATGCTCAGGGGTGCCAACATAACTACCACCATCTAACCCTCGTAGTGTCGTCTTAATTGAGAGAATTCAGATTCCTCCTTTTATTTCTCGTAAATTACATTTGCGTTCCATTTATTAAATTATTTGACTTTCATTTTTTTCTGTTAAAAAAGTTCTTTTTACTTGATTTAACAGAGAATGTGAATTTAGGTTCTAGCGAATCTTTGAAACATTACTTTGTGTGCAGTTTGATCATGCATGAATAGCTGCTTATATTACATATCATATAGTATTTAAAACAAAGTCGCTTTACGTTGGTCTGTACGCTGAATTTTTTTAATCTATACAACAGATTTTAATGCAGTATTCATTATTATATAAAATTATTTCAGAGGTTTTTATTTAAGTATCATACATGATCACGCGAGATTTTGTATTATATGTTTGAGTAGCAAAATTAAATTAAACTTAGTAGACGTCTCCTTGGGAATCATGGAGGGATTATGAAACGAGGGTTCGCTTTGTCACAACCAGAGCAATGTACTACATAATACCGGTTTATTTATTACCAGCGGTTAGAGCGGGCAATAAAAGAAGTGGTCATCCGTCAGACGCACTCTCGAGTCACAGGAATGTAATCAAGGCATCCGTCACAGGGCAAAGAACGCATCACTCAAAATGCCAAAAACCGTGCTAAGACACTGTGAAAGAATGATTACATTTTTACGTCTGACGAATGTAATCGCTTTATCACGAC